GGTATGTTATTTGTTGCAGTACAGTGGGGAAACTACAATAGAAGATGAAATGAACAAAGCTACTGAGATATGTACGAAGTGGCTTTAAAAAAAAAAAACAGGACACCCAGGAAATTATAATTAATGGCCTTATAAGAAGGCTTCAAAGGCAGACAAATTAGTCGCAATGGGTGATTAGAGAGGAAAATTCAGCAATGCATCCTAGATTGGGGGATGGCATTGGCTGGAAGGACACAATTTGAGCCCTCTGGGTGCTGAGGAACATATTTTTTATTTTCCTTGATCTGCATGGTGGTTACGCTGGTGTTATAAACATTTCATTGAGATAACTCTGGACAGATTTGTACATTTTGTAATTGTAAACTATATTATTAATTGCGTTATATCATTAGTTTAGTATTATAATCATATGTAATATGATTGTATAATTTTTAACTTTCCAAGTTAAGGGGTACAAGTGCAGGGTTTGTGTACAGTAGGTTAAACTCTGTTGTATTAGAGTATTTTCACCCGATTTTAGCGCCTATGTATGCAATTAGGTTGTTATTTTTTTTCCTGGTTTAAAATAAAATAAAAATAAAAATTAAAAAGGAGTCTCTGATAATGACTTTTTTTAATCCAAGAATTCCTTTTTGCATTTTCGGTTAAGTTGTAGTGGATTTAGGCTGAACCACATTCACTCTCATAAAGGACCTGCATTTACTTGTCAGTTCCCAACCTAGGTGAAGGGGTGCTAACTTTGCCCAATAAGATCAATTTCATTAGCATGGTGTTCTAAATCAATGTCTCTTAAACTCCAGTCTGTGCTATTCTCTTTATTAATATTCTGCAAACATATGTAAAATAAAGCTATATTTTAGTAGTTTGATGTCAAACAAAATTAAAAGTGATGATTCATTGAATTCATTATTTCTACCAGTAAAGAGAACAGTTAATTTTTTGTTATGTAAAAAGCCAGTAGTTTAATTAAAAGACATCACTAAGAGTGAAAGACTGGGGGCCGGGCGCGGTGGCTCACGCCTGTAATCCCAGTACTCTGGGGGCCGAGGCGGGCGGATCACGAGGTCAGGAGATTAAGACCATCCTGGCTAACATGGTGAAACCCTGTCTCTATTAAAAATTCAAACATAAATGTAAACACCGTTAGTGTGACCT